TCGCACACAAGTCTCACAAAATATATTTCTTTGCCGTCAGTTCCTCTATTTAGTCTTGGTTTTATTCATTGAGGCCTTCATTAAGAGCCTCCTGTGTTTTTCCTTTAGCTGCAGGTTTCCTAAACTTTCGCTCAATGACCAGAATAGTCTTGATCAAATTGTACACATTGATACTTCACACTTGGAAGGTCCAGTCAGCCTTCTGTAAGCAGCCACAAGAAACACTCACACAATAATGTCATCTGCAGATCATGTTTTGGATGATGATTTCACCTTGCTCCATGAAGAAGACGTTAGGTTTTACTACACTGTAAAACCAGCCGTCACTTCAAATATTTGATCCCTGCTGCTGTTAGGCCCTTAAACTGTGTTACTGAGCGTTTAAGCTTCTATTACTGTGTTTATCTGTTTGTATGGACTCCACTTAAAGTTTATGTTTTATGTTATTTGTATCATGAGATTTTCTGTTTCGTTTTTTTGTCTTAGATTGAAATAGACAAAGTCATTGTATATTGTAAATAGTATTCCAAGTTAAATTACCGGTAATAAGAGCAGACATGGACCTTCCTATATGTAACACAAAGTGATTTACAGTTCAATATAATCCTTGACCTATCCCATTTACACAGCCATCCACTAATGCACACGCACATACAGACAAACTGATAGAGAGGAAGCTAATACAAGCTAATGCAGCAGCCCGCCTCCTCCCCATTAAAGCCTCAACAGTGGGGCATATTTCTTCAAGTAATGGGATCATCACTCCCGCTTCCACCACCACCTCTATGGTTGCGATATCTATTTAATTCCCACCTGCATGTCTTTGTTTGTTCGTTCTGCCGGGGTTCAAGTAGCAAAGCCCTATCCATTTGCATGTAACTATCTGATCTACAATCTGCCCGGTCTAAGTGTCTAATAATGCACCTACCAATATACTCTGATGTCATACTGTAACTAATATACATGCAAAAACTAATTCAATAAACATAATTCTGCTACACCTTACCTGAGTCTTTCCAGATTGTAGTTCAGTAGCTACATACACCTTGTTGTCGCGGCGACCTGCTGCGTCCACACCTCATTGTCTCCTCGTTTCCCGGTTGCTGCTGCGTTGTGGATTTGCCGGTTTACTGTAATTAGAGCCAATCTGGGCCCCCGCTCCACAGGGACTGAAGCCTGGGACATGTCACACGCACCTCTGCCACCTCGGCCACCTCCAAAGACAAGAGGACGGCCACATGCACATTTAGCGCGCTAACATCCATCCATGGGACTAGTGAAATATTAAAGAGCTCATAAAGCAGACTGTAATCGACTCCAGATTTCCAAATGTCCAAAGTAGTTGTTCAGACTTGGGATACTGAAACTAGCCTTAAGCTATTCCCTATCATATACTGCCAAGATGAAGCTTGTACCACAACCACTGAGATTTTCCAGGAGAGTTTCCCAGTAGTCCCGTTAGATATCTGTACTGTGACATTATTCGCCACATTGTATTACACTTTATAACTGAAGATATTAGTGGTCATAAATGGTCAACTCTGCTTATGTGTCTATCATTGGAGAAGTGAATGCATTGCCGGGAAAGCTGCAGTGTATGTGTTTTTAAGGCTTAAAAACAACTTGAAAACATGCTGTGGCTGAACTTTCGTTTCCATGGAGAAAGATTCATGCCATGCGGAGCAACATTACCGGAAAGAAAATACTCTCAGAAGAACCATTTCTAGTCCATGCTGTACAATTTTGATTTGCCACGATCAACTTGAAAAACTCCCCTCATTCGGACTCTCCTATACGATGACAAAACTCAAACAAAATCAACCTTTACAAGTATTGCATTGGTTACATTTCACCAGAGGAATGCCAGTATTTGAAAATGCTGTTTATTTTTTTGGCATGGTTCCGCTTTCTGAAGGTTTCTCACTACAGTTTTCTCTGGAAAGGGGGACTGGGGCTCGCATATCAACTCTTCGAATCCCCCGGTGCTGAAACCATAATGCAGTGATGTCATTAAGTACAACAATATGGCCAGCGAGGTAAAAGCAGTGAGGGAAATGATCCAAGGCGGTACTCATGTTCACGGTGACATAGATGGATGGCTGCTTTACGACTCCCTAAAAACTGCGTACTTACTGTAAAAGGTGGGAGAGATACAGTATCACGTTACAGCGCATGTTTAGTGTCAGGGCGGAAAGAGATCATCAGGTCTGTATAGTGTCTGTTTACAGTGCCTTGCAAAAGTTATCATACCTCACGCACATGTTGTCAAGTAATAATCACAGACATAAATATAATTTATTGGCATTACATGTGGCGAAGAATCAGAATTAGAATTATTTGTGTTGCCATTGTAAGTTACAGGAAGTGACAAACTGGGAATTTGCGCTGGCTCAAGGTGGATTCATCTTGTACTGTAAGAGTAAAAAAAAAAAAATCTTCATAACATTTCCTAAAATTACTACTGCATACAAGTGCACTAAATACACACAATAAACATTTAAGGAAAAAAGCTCCGTAGGGGTGCAGAAGCAGAAAGAGACGCTGTTAATTTGCAAAACAAAAGAAAAACAGAGCGCACCCGTTATTATAATAGATCCATGAGCGCACCGAAGAGCCGTGGCGACCATCCATGGCGCCATCTTGGATCAAGTGTTGGGAAATGTGCCCTATGCATTTGACCCATCTCTGCTCTGTGAAAAGGGGAATTGATGATGCGCAGCTTGGACTATTTTTTTGCTGTAGGAGTTTACCAATGGTACAGTGCCTTGCGAAAGTATTCGGCCCCCTTGAACCTTTCAACATTTCGCCACATTTCAGGCTTCAAACATAAAGATATAAAAATTAATTTTTTTGTCAATAATCAACAACAAGTGGGACACAATCGTGAAGTGGAACGAAATTTATTGGATAATTTAAACTTTTTTAACAAATAAAAAACTGAAAAGTGGGCCGTGCAATATTATTTGGCCCCCTTGCACTAATACTTTGTAGCGCCATCTTTTGCTGCAATTACAGCTGCAAGTCGCTTGGGGTATGTCTCTATCAGTTTTACACATCGAGAGACTGGAATTCTTGCCCATTCTTCCTTGCAAAACAGCTCGAGCTCAGTGAGGTTGGATGGAGAGCGTTTGTGAACAGCAGTCTTCAGCTCTTTCCACAGATTCTCGATTGGATTCAGGTCTGGACTTTGACTTGGCCATTCTAACACCTGGATACGTCTATTTGTGAACCATTCCATTGTAGATTTGGCTTTATGTTTTGGATCATTGTCCTGTTGGAAGATAAATCTCCTTCCCAGTCTCAGGTCTTTTGCAGACTCCAACAGGTTTTCTTCCAGAATGGTCCTGTATTTGGCTCCATCCATCTTCCCATCAATTTTAGCCATCTTCCCTGTCCCTGCTGAAGAAAAGCAGGCCCAAAGCATGATGCTGCCACCACCATGTTTGACAGTGGGGATGGTGTGTTCAGGGTGATGAGCTGTGTTGCTTTTACGCCAAACATATCGTTTTGCATTGTGGCCAAAAAGTTCGATTTTGGTTTCATCTGACCAGAGCACCTTCTTCCACATGTTTGGTGTGTCTCCCAGGTTTGTGGCAAACTTTAAACGAGACTTTTTATGGATATCTTTGAGGAATTGCTTTCTTCTTGCCACTCTTCCATAAAGGCCAGATTTGTGCAGTGCGCGACTGATTGTTGTCCTATGGACAGACTCTCCCACCTCAGGTGTAGTTATCTGCAGTTCATCCAGAGTGATCATGGGCCTCTTGGCTGCATCTCTGATCAGTCTTCTCCTTGTTTGAGATGAAAGTTTGGAGGGACGGCCGGGTCTTGGTAGATTTGCAGTGGTCTGATACTCCTTCCATTTCAATATAATTGCTTGCACAGTGCTCCTTGAGATGTTTAAAGCTTGGGAAATCTTTTTGTATCCAAATCCGGCTTTAAACTTCTCCACAACAGTATCTCGGACCTGCCTGGTGTGTTCCTTTGTCTTCATGGTTCTCTCTGTGCTTTAAACAGAACCCTGAGACTATCAAAGAGCAGGTGCATTTATACGGAGACTTGATTACACACAGGTGCATTCTATTTATCATCATCAGTCATTTAGGACAACATTGGATCATTCAAAGATCCTCACTGAACTTCTGGACTGAGTTTGCTGCACTAAAAGTAAAGGGGCCGAATAATATTGCACGCCCCACTTTTCAGTTTTTTATTTGTTAAAAGAGTTTAAATTATCCAATAAATTTCGTTCCGCTTCACGATTGTGTCCCACTTGTTGTTGATTCATGACAAAAAATTAAAATGTTATATCTTTATGTTTGAAGCCTGAAATGTGGCAAAATGTAGAAAAGTTCAAGGGGGCGAATACTTTCGCAAGGTACTGTACATTGGTGGAGAACGGGAGCATGTGGAGGATCTCCACAGGGAATCGAACCCACAATTTTCTTACTGCAAGCATCTGTCACGTGGGTTGCAAACTATCTCCATCTAATGTGATGAAGCTTGAGTTGTTTTGCAAAAAAATAGGAAAAAAAAAGAAAAAAAAAGAAAAGTGTCTTTAGTGTCAATTTATTTCTGTCATTTATAACTTTGTTTATTTATGTACTTGTCTTGTGCATATTGAGGACTTTTGCAAATGTAATCCAATGTGTGTTTTTTTGTTTTGCAAATGGCAAATAAAATGAATCTGAATCTGAAGTTCACACGGCTGGTAACAGTATTTCTATTTTTTTCTCATTACAAAATTAAGCGATATTCAAAGCATACTTTTGGCACACGGCTAATGAGTATTATATTTATTAATTTGTAGCGTATAAACTTTAGCCTACAATTTACAACATAATAAAAAAATAAATGAAATATTGAATAAAATATCAATAGTCTACTCAATAATCTGGAGAAACGGGGATGGAATAGCACTTCTAACGTTGTGTTGAGTTGGACTAGTTGCAGAAACTCTGACTTCCCGCTGACACAGTACTCAGCTGCTGTGTGGGGCGATGGGAGGAGAGGGCAGCAGCGTGCCTGTGCTCACGCTCACAGGGGGAGGGTCTGGGGGGGCCTGGGGAGTGACAGTCTGACGGGGGTTCAAATACAGCTGTGCAGAGTCACACTTTCGCTCAGGACTGCCCTGTGTCCGCGGCTCCTCCACTCCACCCCTGAGCATCTCTCCTAATGGGACTTCCACTCAACAGGCTGCTCACGCTACAGAGGACTCACACGCTCTCTCTCTCAGTCTGAACCTTTGTCTCTGGTGGTTCACTGTTATTGTCTCAATCCGTGATCGTTTATTCACCGTGAGAGTTTATTTACAGTCGCGCCTGGACATCTCCGGACGCGCCATGGAGTACCTCAACTTTTGTTTTGCCTTTTCGTTCTGGGTCAAGTTCGCCTCTTGTGTCTACTCTACTGACTCTCCTCCTGCCCCTGCGCCTATTCCCACAGGTAAGAGTACTCAGCAGTTCATTCTACACACTTAGAATGAAGAAAGGCAAAAGTATAGACATTTCCAGTGGCTTTCCGACTGACAGCGCGCGTTCCAAAAGTGATGTCACAAAGCGCACATGGGTCTGGTGCGCGCCCGGGACTCTGTGTTCTGGATATTACAGCATGTTTGGGCGTATTATTGCATGATAAAGGCTGACACCAAATCAGTCTGCGGCTTGTCGCAATATCATGTTTATTTGATGCGTGCTGCTGAGGCTTTTATGTCTGTCGGCTGTAAAGTGTCGGAGCGTGAAAGAAGTTCATTTGAAGGCGCAGCTTTGATGAGAGAATTGCTTCAATTAACGCACGCTCAAAGGGAACAGTGTGGCGATCCGGGGTTATAGTGAGACTATACCTGCATCAGTAATGAACGACCTGAATGCCAATGATTATAAACACACAAATATGATAAGGAGAAGAAAAAGTCATATGGATCATGTTTGTTATTTACTGGACAATAAGCAACAAGTACAACTGTCCAAAAAATGTATATTCTTGAGCTATCTACTTATATGTTTGTGCAGATAAAAAAAAGAATTCCAGCACTTTGGAGTTCCAGTAGGTAACTTTTCTTAGTTGCAGAACTATAGATTTGTTCATATCATGATTCCTACATGCTTTTACTTGTCAATAATTCCTTCTGTTTTGGGGTTGACATCTCAGCTCTACCTCTTGTTGCACTGCACACAGAGGAGCATTACATGTAGGCACCACATAACCTCTATACCACAGCTTTATGGACTTGTGTGAGACGCTTAGCTCTGTTAACATGTTGCCATGGCTAAATTGCTCTAAATTACCCTAAAATCATCCCAGTTAAATGGGCCTCTGTTTGCAGTCACATGCCTCAGTATGAAACCTCACAGACAGTTTAAGTGCACACATATGCCCATATGTCACAACTTTAAAAAAGTGTATGACAGTCGGTGAAGTCTAATGGAGTCACAATTGCCCCTGGGCAGAACTGTGCTTTTCCCTTTGGTACCGACGCGTCCAGTGTCGGTACCAAAACTTTCAGTACAGACAAGCGTTATATAGACTTTGTATTAAATAAACTCACCAATGACTCACAATGACAGACCAAGTCAAAACCCAGTGGTTGTAATGGAACCACAATGGCAAATGTGTTAATTGAAAAGTGACTGAAGCGGTTTTGAACTTTTGTCTGGGTATTATACTATGTGAATATAGACATATTTTTGTTTTACTTTACTCCGAAAGTAATTGGAGTTCTACATAGTCCGATTCTACCTGAAGAGACACACAGAAGATTTGAAATGTTTTTATAACAATTATAAAGCCGCCAATTATCAATATGAGATTGCTTGAGAGGAGGAGCTTCCCCTGGGGCCTAGTCTCTGGTGGGGGCAGACGAGCACGACAGAACTGCAGATTGAGAAGCGAGGTGGGGCTGAAGAAGGAGGAGCGGTTTGACGGGCAAAAGCAAATGAGCTGATGAGAATTGATGTCTGATGTCCTGTCTCTCTCTCTCCAACTGCAAAAACTGCCTTTCTAAGAGGCTGTCCATTTTTGTAAAATGTTTTATTTATATCCAAAATGAAAACATGATGTTGAAGAAAAGGCAAAGGGACAAGTCTATGTACTTCCTGTAAACTCTCATTAAATCTTCTTCTCTTCTTCTTTTTGCTTTATTAAAAATAACAGATATAATAATAACAGATCTAAAAGAGAGGGTTGCACACAGTCATTAGATTTGTCATTAAGTTATGAAAGTTAAGCTTCAATCAAAAACCTCATAGAATGATCCCAGGCCAACTGAGCATACTGGGTAATGTAGTTCTAGGACAAGATCTTTCAATTAAACTGTATTTTTCCAACACAAGATTGATCTCAAACATGTTTTTTCACTTCCCTCTGACTTTGAAATCCCTTAATGACCACAGAGCTGACTTATGGAGACTACGGCTTTGTCGAAAGGTGGATTTTACTTCTGGGTCCTGAAGCTCTGCCCACTTCCAAGTTCAACAGTGTGTGAGGTCGCGGGGATTGATTGTGCAGCCAGTGAGCCGTGGGGAGAGATGAGCTGATTCAGATTGGGATGTGGTCAGTCTCTGAATTTACATTATAGCTCCTTTAGTCTTCACAACTACATCGTCCTATTGTAAAAAATGCAATTCTAAATATCAAAAATCCTGTTACTTCCACGTGTATAGCCGTATAGCTGTGTTTCTATTGAGTGACTTACCACCCCTCATGGATACCACACTCTTCTAAACTTTCCACACTGTCACACTTGGACCTCTGCGGGGCCCGTGTCGGTAATAGAATCAAAAGTCTCTGATGATGTATTAATTGGACGTATGACGCTGTAATAACCCTGCAATTTAACCCAGAAATTATGATTCATATTGTTCCAGAGTTCCCAGAAAAAGCAAAGTAGTAATCTTTAGTAATCTTTATTTATATACCACCTTTCCCTGCAGATCTGAGTCTCAAAGCGGTTTACAATTGTAAATTGTTTTTATTTTGTTGTTTTTTTGGGCATTTGTCTCTCACTCCACACAGAGAAGGGAGCGGGGTCACCAGTATAGGAGGCGCATGCCAGAACTATTGGACATATTTTTAGTGGTAGGGGAAACCGGAGTACCCGGAGGAAACCTACGCAGACACGGGGAGAACATGCAAACTCCACTCAGAAAGGCCCTGGTCCGACCGGGATTCGAACCCAGGACCTTCTTGCTGAGAGGCGAGAGTGCTATCCACTCAGCCACCGTGCCGCCCGGTGGCTGAGTACAATGAAGTCAACACATTTGTTTTTTTTACAGACAAACACTGGAATGAAAAAGAGAGTGATATATTATTGAAGTGTTGGTGGAGTGATAGCAGGTGAGCAGCAGTGGACACATGTGCAGTGACTGAGGACAGCAGAGCGACTGTTCCCTGGTGGTTTTGGAAAGTGTTGGGTGGAGCAGACCCCCAAGTCCCTGAAAGGACTCATTCAAAGTTCCACAAAACGGACACACAACATACTGCACGTCTTTGGGGGAGATCCGTCACAATGTCCAAAGTTTAGTGTTCAAATACATTATTAGTATTTTAGGCTATATATTTAACCCTTTATTGTTGTCTCTTTGAAGAAATATTTACGTTTTTGTATTTTCTAAGTAATAAAAACGCACTAATAACAAAAATAAGAGATTTTTATTGTGTTGGACCCCCGGGTTTTTTAATTCTAGGTCTTTACCAAATGGTTGAGATGCAGTTTGATGGTAAAGGGGCCGAAAACCAAGTCATAGAGATGCCCCAAAGAGGTAGATTTCAGTTTCTAGATTCAAGTAAATATTGTGACTCAAAAAGTGATCCACCAAATAGTTGAGGAAACCATCAAAGTGTTAATCAGATTGTGCTTCCATGATTTTGCACAATTCTTCTACAACATTTACACCATTCTTACTACATACATTTTCTACAGTGGCATTTTCTTGTGCTGATTGTTGCCAAAGATGATAATTGTGCTTCTCTCTGTGGGCAGAGTTTACAGAGCAGGAAGGAAACTCCACCTCCGTCCACTGCTTCGGTCCACCACACATTAAACACCTCGCATCATACGTATAATCACACCAACACTGTCACCACCAATCAGCACGCAGTATTGTCTGAGCGTTTTTGTGGGGTTTTTTTTGTGTTAAAACGACATCGGGACTACATGCATGAACATTTTCGTAGAGAGAGATTGGATTAGAAATGTCTAATCACCGTCGGTATGCATGCTTTTACCGTTCTTTCATTGGCGTGTGCAATCCTTAAAGCCTAATCTTTTGGAGCAATTCCAATTTATTGAAGTAATAATGGTTCATAAATCTCTGCTTCCTTCTGAAAGCATGTGCTTGAAGGTGAAATCGGACCAATAACGATGACCAGAATGTGCTGTAGGTGTCACGGATAAACAAGGAAGGACCCAAAAACAGAACTGCAGAAATAATGTAATTGAATTTAATAAATGGCACAAGAAAATAAATCCAAAAGTAAAATCCAAGGACAAGACTTAGCAAAAAAAACAACAATGGGCTGACAACAAGAGGACAGGAGCACAGGGTCTGAATCAAGCCCCGGTGATCCAAGATGGCGCCCTATTCAAATGAATGGCTTGTGCTCAGTAGCGCATGGGACTTCATAGAGACTGGGAGATTAGCAGAACTCGCCTATAAGCGGAGTCAGAGCAGGAAGGAAAGGAGCAGAGTTTGTGGCAGTAAAGTGTGGATTTAAAGAAAACCGAAGGATTTAAGAATTAAAAAAGTTCAGGATGACAAGGAACACTAAAATCCCCACAAAATCCGATTTTTCTGAAAACTGTAGGTTCTCTGTCAGCTGAGGTCGAGCTGTTTTGATTTACATTGAGTTCTATCGGACTTTTTTCTGGGTAGCCCGCGTGAATTTAGTCTGCAGTACCACAGGCGCCCCTTGTGTCCATGGGTGGGACAGCTTTAAGCTAGTAATACCCTATCCAGTTATTATTATAGATCCATGGTCTGAATACACAGGAGACACAGGTGTAACACATCAGGGCGGGGCTAACAATCAACAGGACAGATGGGAAGTTAAACTCACAACAAGATAACAAATATGTATCAAAATAAAACCAGATAATAAAACAGAAAGTCCACACCATGACAGTAGGAGCGTGTGTGGCCCGACAACACCATGGACTGCCCTGAATATGAACGGGATCTTCTTACCATCACATTTAGGATAAGATAAGATAAGATAGACTTTATTGATCTCACACTGGATACATCTTCAGCTCTATGTCAATTTTTCCCCTATAGCAGTATAGGGGAAAAATCAGACACACGCACTGAGGTGATCACATTTCCCCTTGTCAAGCACTAATAATGCATCGGGTTTATGTAGCCTTAAAACATATGCATCATTTGTTCTTGCAGAAGTCAAAGACAACAACATTTTTCACTCACACCCTAATCAGTGCTGGTGAATTA